GCCTGTGCCTAGAAGCTGGAATACTAATCCTACATTTTCTTGAAGGAGTTGCATGGTTTCTGGTCTAATTCCTATTTCTTTGATTCATTTTAAGTTGATTCTTATGCAGGGTGGAGGATTAGAGTCTAATTTCATCCTTTTACATATGGATAACCAGTTTTCCCAACACAATTTGTTTAAAAAGCAATCTTTCTCCAATATGTGTTTTTGGCACTGTTGTCAAGGGTCAGATGACTATGTCTGTGTGAGCTTGTCTTTCTATTCTCTGCCATTGGTCTGTCTGTTTTTATGCAAGTACCATGCAGTTTTTGTTACCATAGCTCTGTAGTGTAATTAGAAAGCACATGTTCTAGTGCATTCAATATTCTTCCTTTGGTTTCAAATTACTTTAGCTATTCTGGGTCTTTTATTCTTCCAAATGAATTTTAGACAGTTTTTTTTAATAGTTCTGTGAATAATGTCTTTGATTCAAGTTGTATTTTTATCTGGAGTTTGAGGCCTGTTCCAAACTCACATAACTGGCAGAATTCAGTTTCTCATCATTGCAGGGCTGAGGTCCCTGCCTCTTTGCTGGATATCCACCAGGGACTTCTCCCAGCTCCTGGAGGTTGGTCCCATTGTCTGCCACATGTGTTCTTGCATAGTTAAAGTCAGGGAAAGAGACTCTTCCTCTTGTCAAATCCCTCTCAGATGTGAATTACTGTTCCAAGAAAAGCTGAGAATCTTTGAGGAATCACTTGATTAAGCCATTCTTCAGTTCCTCAACGATAATCTCCCTTTTTTAATGTCAACTGATTAGAGACCTTAATTACATCAGCAAACTCCCTCTTCCAGGTGACACAACATACTCATGGAAATGAACATATTTACAGTCTTATGCACAAGAGGAAGGAAGTAAACAGGTGTGAGTGTTAGGGGCAGAGATTTGGGAGGCCACCTTAGAATTCTGAGTTGGATCAAATAACTGAGAACTATAGCTCAGCCAAGTTGACACACCAAAAAAAAGTGATATAGTTCTGAAATGTCAAATAAAAATTTGGTTTGAATTTTGTGTTGTAAATTTTATTATGATCTTCTTTTGTAGAACTGGTGTTCTCTGTTGTGGAGGTTTCCATGTCTGTATTTGAAGGAGACACACACTTAGTTGATCAGAGTATGGTCCTTTTACCTTTTCAAGTTATCCCACTTTTGTACATAGAGATAAGAAAAGTGAGGCCCTGGGTTTTAATAACACTAGGCAGAGAAGCAAAAGTTAAATGCTCATCGCAGACCACACCCTCTTAATATCATTTCTTTGCCATTCCACTGGTAGAAAGTTCTTTTTCCTGAGAGCCACTTTTCCTGAGCAGGAATGGGAGCTTGGGGGAGGGTAATGGACAGAGATGTCAGCCAGAGTTTGGGCAGAATAACAGTACGAATGCCCTTGGAGTATCTTTTGTAATCACGAGATGGAAAGATATCTGATACTGTTCTTAGTTCATTTTATGCTTAATTTATTTTCTTAGTGCCATGGAAATTCAGAGCTGTAAGGGATCTTAGAGAAGTATCTTTTCTCATTCTCCCTTTGGGGAAAAAGATCATCTGACAGTAGTACCATAACAAATCAATAACTTAATGGACATATAAATGGTTTTATAGAAAACATTGTTTTTTTTCCCCACCAGTTTCTTAATTGCTTCTTAAACATCCAATTCAGTGATTCTCAATTTTTTCCCCACCATAACGAATTAGAAAGGTAGCACATTTATGTCAGTGACTGAAGCTAAACTCCAGCAGAAATCTGCAGAAGTGATTTTAAGCTGAGAATCGTGAACATCCCCCAGACCTCTCATACTTACTATCAGGGAACATTGAAAATCTTGGGGTGGCAGTGAGAAGGGAGAGTATATGAGGCTGGAGTAACCTCCTAGGTGATTCTGAAGAGCTCCACTTGAGTCACTTAGATAGTAGTAGCTTTTGTTCTATTATCTCTATCATTGAAATGTCCTTTTATTTTTCTTATTATTTCTGCATACAATCTTGGTGTCATCAAAGAATCCTCTAGTCTATCTCAGCATCTAATTCGTAAGTTACTTCTGTTCCATGCAGGCAGTCGGCCATTCTGACTTGTTACCTAGAGCTGTGGCATGACGAGGCACTGTTGTTTTCCATAGATCTTGGGCTATTATCAGGCAGTTCCTGTTTTTCCTTGAGTCAGGCAAGAACTTGGTCTCTTGTAAATTCTCACTGACTGGGAAGGCTGTGGCATTTCTCCCAATTTTATTCTTGCCTGGAATTAAGATCCCTGATTCTTTTAGGCTAATATTACTGATGGTTTCAGGATCTCCATTCTAGTCACCTTCCTTTGGAGCAGTTCTGTTACATCTTTAATGTGATGAGTAAAACTGAACTCAGGACAGGGTTTGTTGGTCATGTCTCCTATCCCCTAAGAATGACTGCTGCCATATCTTTCAGATTGGTCCAGCTTCTCTGGGATACATTCTGCACATGATTGACAAAGGAGATTTTAAATGAGATCCTTTTTCTTCTGTATTTGTACCTTCCAGCCACTTGTCTTTGCTCTCAGAATAGCACACAACCTCCTTTAACAAGCCGATAAGACCGAGCATGATCTCGCCCCACAAACCCTTTGAATCTGATCTTCTATCACTAAATTCCATATTTGGCTCCTTGAACTTGCAGTTCCTTTGGCATCTCCTCTTCCCTGTCCTCATATGGTAGGCTTCTGCCCACCCAAGGCTCACTTTCAGTTCCTCTCCAAAGTGGCCTTTTCTTACTGTCCCCAAGAGTCCATCTTCCACTAGTCCCCCTCCTCATGCTCAGAACCCCTGCATCTTTTACCGTCGGACCTTCAAGAGCCTAGAGGAAGGAGTGCTGTGGTGGGCTTCCAATAAATACTGATGTGGAATAAATGAATAGTTAGTAGTTGAGCAGGGCTGAATGCACCTCTTAGTTTTAGTAATAGATATCTGTTAATGTATCCTAAGATTGTGGGTGGGGGCAAGGGACACCAGGAAAATGAACATTTCATTATCAACACATCCTACACAGATACTGACTATTTGAAGGTAGAGCCAGCAGGATTTGCTGCCCAACTAGATGTACCCACATGTAAGAAACCAAGGAGTCAGGTAGAACTCTAAGATTTTTCACCCTGTGGATCTGAATAAATGTAGTCATCATTATTGAAATGAGGAAAACTGAGAGGGGAGTTTAGGTGTGCAAGGGGCCCATCAGAAGTGAAGTTGAGACATGGAAAGGTAAAAATGCTTATAATCCTTAATTTTGCTCTGTTTTAGTCTCCTCAGGTTTAAGTGAGAGTTAATAATTTCTCATGATAGTTGTGAGTTTTTAAATAGTTAATGTACATAACTCAAGGGAAAATAATAGAGAAAGTGCATTAAGAAAAGTAAATTGTTTAAGCATAGTTATTAGATCATAGAGCTTTTACAAAATCCTTTGGGCATGAGATAGGAAAACCTAAGTATACTGCACAAATTTTTTTCCCGGTAGGATTTTATGCTGTATTGAAGTGTTTTCTTCGGTGTAGGACAATGTTCAGTTATACAGTTGAAAATCAAGGTATTGACTCAGTATCTAAAAACATCTCTCCTGGTAGTATACTGCAACCAAGGAGCATCAAAAAATTATATTCTATTCACTCACTAAACTGCCTTGTGATCTTCAACAGCATATGTATTGAGTATCTAATATGGACAGGAAAATATGCTAGATACTGAAAAGCTAATAGGGCCAAGATAGAATTTATAATGTTGTTATATTCTGGGGATTAATGTAAGCATTTTATCAAGGTTTAACATTATAAGCTTGATAGAAGTACATGGCTGTCATTGTGGAGTGAAAGCCCATGAAGTTCCTCACATGCTGATACTGAGGGCAGAGCAGGGGAGGATTTGAATGCACAGTGTTGATTTCACGGGAATGCCAGCACTTGCTGGGGACTGTATTGAAAGAAGTCCTTCAGACAGCACGTCCCCTTTGTACTGGTAAACTTTGAAATGCTTTCAGTGCATTTACTTGGCTTTATTGTTACAGAAGAAATCTCATAGCTAAATTACAGTCTTAAGGGTTTATGAGATGCAATTAAACTTAATTTTTAAAAAGTTCTCAACAAATCTTATTCGAAGTCTTAATATCTCAATTCCCTTTATATAGGATGTGTGGATACATTTCCACCATATAAGTAACATGTGACCCACTTAATAACAGCTTCCTTAATAGCCCAAAGCTTCTTGTGTTCATGTGTAAATGATCCTTTTGAAATCTAATTATTCATGAATAAGGCTTCTATTCCACAGTCAGTTTGAGGAAAGGCAGGGCTCATCTGTCTTGTCTTAGTCACACTAAGGGGAGGAAGGACATAGTGGTAGAGCCAGCTCCCTCACCTGGGTCCCCTGAGCCAGTCTGTACAGGAGGACTTCACTGTTGCTTGAAGGTAAATTCTATGTGCTCTTTATGCATACAGGGATCCAATGCATGAGAGTGGTAGTTAATGTTTGCTGAGCACTTGGTAAGTGCCAACCCCTGCTTTAATTCCTTCATCTATATTAGCTTTGTTAATAGTCACAGCAGTCCTTCAAGGGGTAGATCCTGTCATACCTGTGTAACAGTTAAGGATGCTGAACCAGAGGCATTGGTTGAAACGTTGTCTAAGGTTACAGATTGTCCGTTTGGGTTTCAAACCCCAGCAATGTGGCCCAGAGCTCTGTGCTCAGCTGCTCTGCTGGGCTGACTCCTTCCATAGAGCTCAGACTGGGGAAAGTGTGGCCAGAGACCCTCAAACCGCTGTGGCTTTTGTTTCCTAAACAAAATCTGTTTTACAAATTTGTCTCTTATGTGTGTATGGATTAAGGCCAAAGTTGATTATTTTTATGGTTCTCCCTACATAAGATATATTTGAGATTACTAGTGGGATTTAAAGTAATTATAAGAAAGATTTATTGTTTTGTTTTGTTTTGTTTTGTTTTCTTTCTTCTCAGTGTCATGGTTTTCTCCAAATGAAAATATCCTCGTCGTTATTTTCCCAATTTTGGCTATACTTCTCTTCTGGGGACAATTTGGCATTTTAAGTAAGTATTTATTTCTACTTTTCTTTTATGGTTTAGTGATGAAATTGTTATTTCTAGGAGGTTATACTGGTAAAACATTTTCTTTAAGTTGTATTAGGAAGAGTGTTATTTGAGTAAAGAAGTAATGCAGTTTCAATACTCACAGTCTCCCTGAAGTGCATATTGTCCCCCATATTGTGCTACAGTTCACCTTGAATTCCTAAGAAGGTGTCTCTTTTTTTTAATTTATTTGTTGTTATTTTCTAAATATTTAAAGAATGAATAGAGGGACTACTAGTAATAGCAACACCTTACACTCATGTAGCATTTTCATATTTACAGAACATTTACCTACATTTTATTTGATAAACAGATGGTCACAGGCCTCATTAATGTTGAGATGGCGTGATGTGATCCTCTGGAGCCTTAAATTCCCCTCTCTTCATTTTCCCCGTTTGAACTTCTCTGTAGACACGTTTACTCATGGAGAAGTCCCACTGAACCATGTATTGTCGCCTTCAACTTGCAGCCTCATAGCCCTTAAGGAAGCAGCCACGGGAAAGCCGTGTTCTGTGATCTCACTTTACTGTGATAGACATGTAACCAAACCTCAGGGCAAATCTTAATGCTGTGTCAGATTCAGCATCAACAGTCTAGAACTTTCACTACAAGGTAAGTAGGTTATATGCAGTATGGATAACATTCACATTCAACCATATGGCCGCACCAGTTTGGTGAAGGAAATTTACTAAATTAGTGAATTTCTGAGGTGACATTCTAAACTTACTTTAAACTTTGAAGACATAAGATTCCTACTCTCCCTGTAGCACCCAAATAGTCACTGAAGACCAATAAGCATCTATACAGAAGGAGTCAACAATGCTGATGTAATTTATTCTGCAATCTTTAGAAAAATAAAATGTGGTAAATGTTGCAGTAGATTGGCCTCTACGTCTGTTATGGATTTTATTTTTCCTCAGAAGTTTAAGCTGTGTGTATCCTCAGTGATATGTAAAAAAATGTAAGAGAGGGGACTGATGATATATTTTAAGAGCTTTTCCCAATGTATAGCCCTCTGGAAATGCTAATGATTTCAGAGATGTTCTCAACTTTTTGTCTAAAAGAAAAAAAAAGAGGGGAACAAAGGACTGACAGTGGCAACTGTCAAAACATCTCACAGCTCTTACCTTCAAGAGGTGTCTAGACCTCTTTTGGAAATCATCTTAAAATTTCAATAAATCTTTTATCTCAGGAAAATAATTGGTACAGCATCAGGGCCTATTGTGTCATCAGTGATGTTAGGGAAAGCATTCCACCATATTGGCAGACGTAGCTTTAAGGGCCAAGTCATATAATTTGGGCTGGGAACAAACTATTTTTATGATTATAAAATTATTTCACATTAGTGGCATTTGTTGAGTTTGGATTGTTAGAAATTCGCTGATCATGGCATTATCCTTAGTGAAATTACATTTAGTGGTATTATGCCAAGGTAAATCTGTTCACTGTCAGCCAAATTTTTACAAAATAAACTTTGTTATTGTTGTTCTGACTTTAAAAAGTAATACAGTTGTCTTAGTATCCATGGGGGACTGGTTCTGGGAACCCTATATACCCAAATCCACTGATGCACTGACACCGGCCTATCTTATTAAATGGCCAAGCATTTGCATTTAACCTCCACACATGCTCCTGTATACTTTCAATCATCCCTAGATCACCAGATTATTTATAGTACCACATGCAAAGTAGATGCTATGTAAATAATTGTTGTATAGTTTTTTAAGAGAATGATGACAAGGAAAAAGTCTATACAAAATCAGTACAGATATAATTTTATTATCAATATTTTTGGTTCACAGTGGACTGAGTGTGTGAATGTGGAACTCACAGCTATGGAAGGCTGGCTGTTACATTACTTTAGAACACTTGGTACAATATGGGAATTTTTAGGGAAAAATAAAAGTCATCTGCAGTGTCACAACCTAATAATATGCTATTGGTGCTTTCTAGAGAATTGCCTATTTCCTTCCCTGTCTATTTATTTTTGTTATCATTGTTTTAAAAACAGAAACCAGGAAAGGACTTGTGCTGTTTATGTTCTTATACACGCTAATATTCAGGATGTGTCTTTATAACTCTTGTTAGAATTCTTCTCCCCTTCTATGCATATACAATCATTTACTTAACTCTTATCTTGATGGATATTAGGGATGTTTCCAAGTTTTTTTTTTTGATACTATGAAAATAACTCTGCTAACAATATGTAAGCCAGGAGATGGCAAAGATATTTTAAGCCTCCTGATTCACACTGACAAAATGTTTTCCAGAACCATCTCATCAGTTCCTACCATTGGAGCTGAGAATACCTGTCTTTCACCTCAGAGTCCTGACATTATTGTAATTGTAAAATCTCTGCTAATTTGATGGATTATAAAGTAAAAAGCATCTTGTTTTCATTTTCATGTTTGTGTTTATGAGGTTGACTGTTCATTTTTATATTTTTTCTACTGCTGTATTTTAAGGAACATGTTTATGAGCCTAAAGAACTATTTGTGGAGGTTTATTATTTTGGCACATCTTAAACAAGTAAATGTGGTGACTGTGCACGTGTGGAAGAGGCACCTCCACACTGGGTTCATCCAGCCTGCCCTCCATTTAGAGGCGTTGATCATAATAGTGATTAAGTGTGGAGCCCTTGCCCTGTAGGGCAGGCACTGTGCCAAGTGTGCTGCGTCTGAAATCATGTTGATTTCTCCAGGGACTTTGGGTGTATGTACTGTGGTTATTCCCATCTTGTAGATGAGAAACTGAGGCACTGATCAGTTGGGCAGTTTGCCCACAGCCACCCAGCTGTTTCCTGGTAGCTTTGGGATTTGAACTGTGCTGTTGGTTTACTGGTATTCTCTACTGCTTCCCCATCTTGAATTTGAGAATTTTCTTTCTGTGAAGGCTAACGCCATGTATAGGTACACACTCTGAGTGGATGTAACTGTTATCGATAAGCAGACTGTTGACCTATTTTGTTTGTTCTATGAATACCCATGACAGGGTGCTTGCTGACTGCTGGGCACTGGGCTACATGCCTGAGATGTGGAAGTGAGTGCACATCGCCCCTGGCTTGTAGACCTGCATGTCAGTCATTCCAGTAGAGGGGTGGGTGTGTCTGCCTGTGCTGCCCCTAGATCTGAACCAACTTTTCTTTTGGAGCCTCCAGGTTATGGCCTGGGCATCCCACCAAAGAGGGGAGCCCCTGTGTTTTCCGCCTGAATGCTTGTGCATTTCCTGGAATCCAGGATGTCACAGCCCCTGGGGTGTTAACAGTCACTCAGCTCCATGGCTTTTATTTTCTACGTTTTTAGTTCTCCTTAACTTTCCTGATGACCATTTATGGTCTGTACTTGACTACAGGAGATTCCTCTAAATGGTTTATCCAGCTCTGCCTGTGAGTCTTTTGTGGTCCAAGATGAAACCCAGACCTTTGTGAGGCTGAACTTCCTGGAAAGACAGTGGGTTATGCTGTCACTTTGAGGATAAGGAGTTTCTGTGTTCCACTGCATAATTCTTGACACTGTATTAACATATATTCTCAATTCCCTAGAATTAAGCACTGAACCCTAACCAATAATATTGCTTTCAGACACTTGGTTTTTGTTCAGAAAACTATACCAACTCACAGTTTGTTACTCTGCTGACGATTAAGTTCCTGGCTGACTTTTCGCGGTTCTTCTTCCTTAGTCTTTGATCTCAGAACAGCTTCTTTCCATCATTTAGCTGGTTGATGTATGATTGCTAGGACTGCCCACCTAGTCCTCTAGTTCCTCCAGGATTGAGGTGCCACTGTATTCAAAGAACTGGCTGGCATTTTGAAAGTCTTTGAAGTAGGCCTGTCTGCTTCTTTTTTTTTTTCCTATTCCTTGAACTTTTGTCATGTATAGTGTGTCTTTGCTTTACACAGATCTGTGAAACTATAAACACAACCATGTAAGCTGAAATTCTGCATAGAAATCTTAATAAAGAATGGGAAAATCACTACTATATAATGGCCTTAAAAATCTTTTTTCAAAGCATTAAAAGTGTTTGTATTATCAGTAACAACTGCATTGGAAAATGGAACAAAAGTCAAATTAATATTTAGCACATGATATATTAAGAACTTCGAGGATTGAAATGTTTTGTTAAGCACCGTTTGAACAACTCTTGTATTCTTTTTGTGTAACTGAATACAGAACACACATCTTTTCTGTGCCTTGGTGAATTGTCAGCCTCCCATTTGGATCTGGGTTTCAAAATTGAGTTCTGTGTAGTTTCAAAGTCATGAAATATATCTGGCAGTCCCTTCAGTGTGACATGGTTCTTGTTTTTGCTTTTGCCAGAGTCTCTTCCTCCAGGACATCTTCTTGCTCTTTTGTCCGTCCTCCTCACCTTCCTCATTCTTGCCAGTGATTTTCCTTCACTGAGTTGCTCTGGCCACATCTTGAGTGTCCCCATTCCCATAATCCACTGTTTTCTTCTTCTACTTTTCCACTGATGGCCCAATTGAAATTCAAATCTAGCATCCTGATTTTTCATTTCTTTGCTCTTTCTTCCTTCCTTCGTGCTCAGTTTTCTCTTTTGATAATCCATTATAAAGTAGCATGTGGGTTTATCATTGGGAGACCAGAAAATAGTACAAGTATACACTTGAACTGAATGAAGAACAGATGGGCAGTGACCAGTGACCAGTCAGCAACCAGTCTTCAAAAAAAGTGACGTGACTGATCACAATGGACATCTGCTATTTATGGAGGGACTTGTGGACTGAAGAGATAGCAGTGAAGTCTGTACTTTATCTAGTTACTTGGTTAACATATTGTGGTAATTAAAATTAGAACTATATTTTGGGGGACTTGTGTTTTTTAACTAAATGATGGTAACTGGAATTCATTCACATCAGAACCATTCATGGTGAGGACTGCTGTAGTTCAAATCTTATTTCCTAGACATCGTCCATTTTCTTTTCTAATTTTCTCACCCTTCCTCAAGATTATTCCACAAGGATTTTGGCTACTGCCTCAGAGGTATTTAGGTAGATGTACCTATGGAAATAATCGTAGGGATATTCAAGGAAAAAATACTCCCACACAGCAGCCTTGAGATCCTACTAAGTCTTCAAGTCCAGACTTGAGGACTAGTTTACTAATGAAAGCATTTAGGCCATGAGGGCACATTTAAGAGAAATAATAGAGCAGGAAATTTCTCCATTGGTTAGAAAAGATCATTCTAGGGAGGTGAGGACATGTATTGAAGTGTACTGAAAATATCTATGCAAGAAGGTAAAAATTTCCAATAGGTTATAAAGAATTATTCTGTAACCTGATTGCTGTCCTCTAATAACAGGACTTAATAATGAAGTTTGATGTGAGTTCTATTCAAAAATCTTGAACTCACAGTGTTTTTCCTTGGTCCTGTCCAAATTACAATCATCTCTGTAATTAAGTCTTGCTTATGCACTGATTTTATTGTAGGAGCAACTGAACACAACTATAGTTTAACATTTCATTGTTTTAGACGTATAGTTGCAGTTTTCTTGACCTTTTCCTAACCATTTCATCCCAGCTTCCTGCATATACTCTGAAACTGTGAATCTTTCCACAAAACCAGGGCACATTTAGAACCAGGAGAAGGAGATTTGTCTATAGCACATCCCCTTCGTTTACACTCAAAGTACTTTCTGCACAAAGCCTGAGCTCTTTTATCTCTGGGTCCCATAGAAGGGGAATGTGGTGTTCAGTCAGTATTCAGTTTGACAGAATTGCTTCACCAGAGCAAGCTGGACAGTATATGGAGTTTATAATAAAATTATTTTGTTTGCCTTCTGGCAAGTCACCAATTTATAAATGGCAATCCATTTTTCTCTAGCACCAGTTTCACAAAGCCTTCTACATGAATGTGTTAAATATTTTTAAAATAATAATTCAAATTTAAATAATTAAAAAAAATTGAAATTGTAATCTGATTTTAAAAGTTATTAGATGTACTTTATCCTACACTGAAGACAGTATTGGTTTATAACTCAACAGATACCGAAAGGATTCTAAGGTACTTTCCTGGAGTATCAGAAACTGTATAATAATTAAATCAAACACTTGTCTCCCTTTATGATTTATTCTTCATCTGATATGGATTTTATCACACTGGTAAGCTTTTGTGTCTCTGCTTACTCACCGATCACTTGGCTGGACACTAAATGTCACATCTTTGAGCATGCATGGCTTCTTGGATTTTTATATCTTGTTAGGTAGACTGTACTTTTTTTGGACCAATATGAGTGCATCAATTCAGTCTTTAGAGTATCATGAAAACGTAACATGATAGATTTAATTTTATCTCCAATTGACTTGGTAATTATACTAGATTTTGCCAGCCTCAGCCTGCATTATATCTTAGATGTGCTCCCTATCACTCACAAAGAGACATGAAAATCTCTTCAATTCCTTACATTAGCACTGTCTTTAAATGTCTAGAGGGACTTGCTTCATCCGAGTGAAAGTGAAGGATTTAATGCCTAAAGGAACTTTCTTAGACTAGAGGAGACCTTCACCTTTTATTTAACTGGGAAGAAGACATGAGAACAAAGCCCCGGTCATTTACATCCCCAAACACACTCTCACCCATTAGAATCTGAGGGCCTTGAGGCCTGCCTTGTGGTTGTTTTTATGTACACTGTCAGTGAGTAGAATAGTGATTGTCCCATGGGTTGATAGTGCTCAATAAGTTCTTGTTTAATAATGTAATCCACTTGTTCCCTGATTTGGACTAATAAAAGGGCCTGGTACATTGTAGGTACATAGTCAACATTTGTAGAAAAAGTGAATGAGGGGCTGGGGTTGTGGTTCAGTGGCAGAGCGCTTGCCTAGCATGAGTGAGGCACTGGGTTTGATCCCCAGAACCACATAAAAACAAAAAAATAAAATGAAAGTATTGCATCCACCTATAACTAAAAAAATATTTAAAAAAAAAAGAAAAAGAAAAAGTGAATGTGCCAACCTAACATTTTTTCGAGAAATAGCCTGCTGGATTTAACTATTTTATTTCACATATGCTCTGGAATTATATTGAAATTAAGCAACATCTATTTTGAAGTAGAAAAAGGAAAATTTTAGAATTTCTCATTTGTTGGTTAAAATATTATATTATTTCCTCTAGTATTTGGTAACCCTGTATCAGGCAGAGCCTAGGTTGTAAGTTTTTGTTAAAAATGTACACAGGATTATCACTTCTCATGTATTTCATTTTATGTATTGAGCTCAGTAGTTTTAGCTGAGGGAAATCTTTAAAAGCATGCAGATTTTTTAAATGACATAGATTGTCTTGCTAAGCAGCCAGAAAATCATACCAGAAAGTTTGATAAAAGCCTGCTGTTAAGAATACATTAAATTATTTTTCTCTTAATGCTAAGTGTTTGGGGAATCACTTGAATTTATTTTCTTTGTCACATCTAATGTTTTGATACATTTTATAAATAAGGGTATATCTACTTATTAAAGGACTGGAAAAGATCACTAATAAGAGGGCCTGAAGATTGTTGGGTTTTATAGCATCTCAGTGTAGCTGAGAAACTGACCACTGTGCTAACGGCAAGATATCTTCCGCACAGTTACTGTGGGACCTGCTAAAATGTGGTCATTGTGAGCAAAGAAAAGGAGCCAGAAGGCACTCTTTATAAAGGGCCATTGAAGAAATATGGGGACATTCTTTCATGGCCTGTGGTTACTTAAGTAGACTGCAGTAATATATTTTTTGGAAACGGCTGCTTTTATTGGAGAAAAGTTTAAGGTAGCCTTGAAAATGATTAGTAATTGAACCAATCAACAGGAATTAAAGCTACCACCAATGTGCAGTGTACTTCTGCTCAAAAGGAAAAGGCCATCTTATGATAAAACACTAACAAGAGTATTTTGTGGTTTGAGTTTTGTTGGTATTATTTTTCTCCTAAGCCTGAAGGTATTGAATTCTATGTGACGTTCAAAATCTTATTTTAAGAATGACAGAAGTCAGCCTTTTTGCATGAAATTATCCTACAAAGTCAAGTCTTAAATGCTTGTTGCTTAGTGGCTCTTTTAACAAATTAATCTGCAAGAGCTTCTTATGACTGTTTGATTATAGAGGACATTTGAAGCAGCTTCTATTTTATAACCCTTTGCAGAACTTTGAAGCTCTGTTTAGATAACAATATGCATGGGATTCAAATGGAAAGCATGACACATATCTAGAGAAAATCTCTTTTTCTGTGTCTGTGCCTTTTGTGACCTGTGCACTCAATTTTATTCTACCTGGTATTTGAGCCTAGAAGACAGAGAAGCTGTGAGAACTGAGCTTGATAAGGAGGCAAGGTTGTGATTGAGTAGTAGTCATGTGCCTTCTAGGGCTGGGTGGGAATAACAAGTCAAATAAAGATTTGGGGAACTTGCCACATGATGCTTTCTAAATATTACTGTGATTTCTCTTTTCTGATTCATGTGGATTTGTTACTCAGCTTGACAAATGGTGTCTGCTTAGGTTCTGTCTCCCCCTAAACAGAATAGACTTGGGGTTCTAATCTAAAGTGTGGGTAGGTAGAGATTCAAAAAACTCTTCAGGTACCTGCAGTATACCTTAAACATAGATTTTTTCATGATTATTATTATTGTTAATTTTACCATGTTTCATCTATTCATCATTTTGGTGGAGGAAAATTACATGCAAAATACAACATTTAAAGTATTTTCCCCTTTGCAACAGTTACCCATTGATTATTGACACACCAATCTATGTGTATGACACACAGCAAAATTTCAGTCACATATCCTGTTGCTCTCTGCTACTCAGTCTGATTTTAGGTTACCTTTAACAATTGCTTGGTGAAAAGTTAATTTCAATGTTAACACATACATAAAAAGGTCAATAGAGATTAAAAGGAAATACTATTAGGGTTATTCATTACATTGTTGTTTCAGGGAAGGTACTGGATACTTGACAATAAACCTAGCATTAGAAACAATAATATATATGATAAATTCCATTGAGTCTTTGTAGTTTATTTTTATTAAAATAATTAAAGATTTTAAACATTTTTTTTCCATCAGGATTTTGCAAGGGTGTTATTTGTTCAGTGTTTATTCTATCCTGTTTTTCAGAATGATGGGTCCATATTTCCAGATGTTTTACTAATTTTATGTAAGGTGGAACTTAGTTCTCTTTTTCTCAATATTGCTAATTAGCCATTTATGTCCCGTCAGCATATGTGTATCAGTGTTGTGTTGTCCATCTGGGGTGATTTTGCTCATCAAGGGACATTGACAATGTCTAAACACATTTTGATTGACATAACTAGGGGACTGTTACTAGCATCTCATAATATAGAGTCCAGGGATTCTGTATAACATTCTATAATGCACAAAGCATCCCCCACACAAAAACTTACTAGCCCCCAAAGTTAATGATGCCTCAGTTGAGGAAGTTGGCGTATGTAACTTCATTCTTTTAAAGTGTAGGGAATAAAGTGTCACCTGTGTATTAAGCATCCACATGTATACTGCCATTACCCTAATTATCCATTGGCTTTTGAAAAGATGCGAGGTGACTTAAAGGAGTTGTTGCTCAGAGGTTCTTCAGTTACAGTGAGTTATCAGTTTTAATCTGCGCCTTATAGGTTACAGAAATGGCTTCGCATGTGATTGAGTTTGTTGATTAAATTCTGTTTCGTTTTTTCAGCACTTAAATATAAATCCAACTGTACAAATAAGAAAATCATCCTTTTACTTATTGCTGGACTACTGCTCACTACAATTGTCATTGTTGGAGCCATTCTCTTTGTCCCAGGTAAGATGTACAGTTGCTATGAGGAAATGCAGGGTCGATAGAAGGGGAACATGGGGGTCAGGGTATATAGGTTTCCTAGTGCTGTGGTAGCAGATTATGGCAAACAGAGTGGCTTCAAACAGTAGAAGTTCTCTCACCACTCTGGAGGCCGTAAGTCTGGCTGTAAGTCAGGGTGTCACGGGGGCCGCATTCCCTCCCCAGGCTCTAGGGGAGAGTCCATTTCCTGCCTCTTCTAGCTTCTGCATTTGCTGGCAGTGCTTGGCATTCCTTGTTTCTTCCCTCATGTTTGCAGTTCCTCTTTCTCTTCTGTCTTCTGCTCTGTGTCTGTGGCAAACTGCCCTCTGTCTCACTCTATCAAGGACACTTGTCATTGGAATCCGGGCCCACTGGTATAATTCAAGATAAGCTCCTTCAAGTTCCTTAACTTAATTGTATGTTTGGCCATATAATGGAACTGGCTTTTAATTTTGCCATGTAAGGGGATATTCACAGGTTCTAGGGATTGGAAAGTGGAAATAGCTTCAGGGCCACCATCTTGTATTGACCAAGATGTAGAAGTGGGAAAGAACGTGGGAACCATGTCTGTCTAAAGTGGCAGTTGTGTGTGGGGGGATGGGAGTGGGAGTGGGAAAGAAGGGCAGGGAGCACATGAAGAAAAGCAGAGACCAGGCTGGGACTCCACGTGGTGGCTTCAGCACACTATTGTGGTTTCTACAGGAGATGGTAGTGTAGGTGTGATGTTTAAAAACATAAATCAGCACCTGTATTTACTTACAGAGGTACTGAGGGCATGGGGAGAAGGAGATAAGTTCAGAAAACAGCCTGAAAGAGCAGTGGATTTGACTTTGGGACAGATGGAAAATAGCAAAGGAAGGGAATGACAAGAGATGACTACAGAATTTATCATTGGAAGTCTGTTAGATAGCTGAGGAGGAGATAGAGCCAATTCAAGGATTTTGCAGGGTGAGATTTATATTCTTTATCTCAAAAAATTACTCATTTAAATGAATTTTGGGGAAAACATTTCAGTTTGTAAGAGTATTATTGAGGTTAAAATATTTAATAAAATTAAGTACTTTAACATGTGAAGACTAGGAAGTATATATGAGAATATTTTAAATGTTTTTTATTTATTAACAGGAGAATATTCAGTAAAGAATGCTTCAGGACTTGGTTTCATCGTAATTTCTACAGGGATATTAATATTACTTCAGTACAATGTGTTTATGACAGGTAGGTATTTGTTCTTACAGTATGATTTTTGTCTCCTTTTTTCATTAAAAAACAGTACTTTTGGTGAAATTTTTCTTATATTTTTTAACAGTTCAATTGAAGTGGTTTATTAAAAGAACTTCCATTACATTCTTAGTGATTTCCCTGCACAGATTGTTATAAGACTATATTAGATCATTAAGGCAGTTAATTATTTTGTGAATACTGATTTTTGTATTATTTGATGCTGGTTTTATAATTTAAATTATGCTGCATAGTTTTTAATGATTATCTGCATATTCTGATTTCAGATTTTTATAGTTATAAGTAGGTGTTCAACACACTCTTTATTTGCTAATCCTATACATTAAAAAGACTAATTCTACAAGATGAAGTTATAAATTGCAAATGGTAGAAACATGTTCATTTTACTTACAGGCAAACCATGGCACAACTATAATCAGCATTGTTCTCTCTGCATTTTAAAAGCAAATTGCTAACCTATTTTGGTTATAATTAAGGAGTCACATTTAACACTGGACCTTAGAGCCTCTCTCTGGCTCACTGTACATAGTAAATGCATCCATTCACTATAAAACCACAGGTCAAGATGCACAAGATAGAGGTCACGATGCTTGCAGTCATGTTTGCATAGTGGTTCGCTCCACTAGAGCAATTTCTGTGCGTGTGAAGAAGCCATGCCAGATAGCCATTTATGGATAAAAGCGTACAAGTGTGGTCAAAGCAAGATTGATCTAGGATTTAGGGTAAAAACCACCAGTCCTGCTCAGACTCCTGTGACAGTAAATGTCTGCTGAACATGTGGGTCTGGAGCTGACTTGTGTGGAAGTTAGGCTCTGGAAAAGAGTCCACCATCTAACAAGTGCAGTCAGTCGTTGGGCATAGGATGTTGCTCTTGGTTTCACCAGAGGCAGGCAGGAGTGATTGCTTCATTGGTATCCTCAATGCACTTCTCTCTATCCCTTTCCTTCCTCTAGCTTTTGGGATGACCTCCTTCACCATTGCCATATTGATCACTCAGGTGTTGGGCTATGTGCTCGCTGTGGTTGGACTATGTCTCTGTATCATGGGTAAGTACGTCTCATTCTCCTGTATTCCCAGTTTGAATTTTTCTTGAACAGAGCTCTTCTTTCTTTCTTTCTTCTTTTTTTTTTTTTTAGAGCAGTTTTTAGATCCACAGAAAAATTGAGTGGAAAGTGCCATAGGGTTTCTGGGTACTTCCTGCCCCTTTCACATGCTCCACACAGTCACAGTTTCCCTCCACGTCCCATACTAGAGTGGCATGTTGGTTACAGCTGATGAACCAATGTTGACACATCATTATCACCCAAAGTTCATAGCTCACATTGCGGATCACTCTTGGTGTTGCACATTCTATGGCTATTACAAATGTGTAATGACATGCATCCCCCAATGTAGTGTCATACAGAATATTTTCAGTGCTCTAAAAATCCCTTGTGCTCCATTTGTTCATCTCTCTCTCCCTGCAAATCCCTGGCGACACTGACTTTGTTACTATCTCTATAGTTTTGCATTTTCTAGAATGTCTTAGAGTTGGAATCATATAGTATATAGCCTTTTCATATGGGCTGCTTTAACTTAGAAACATGAATTTACATTCCCTTCATGTCTTTTCATAGCTTGAGAGCTTATTTCTTTTTAACACTAACTACTAGTCCGTTGTGTGGATATACCATTGTTTATGTGTGAAAGAACATCTGGGTTGCATTCCATTTTGGGGGACTATGAATAAAGCTACTACAAATATCCATATGCATGTTTTTGTGTGGGCATAATTCAACTCCATTGGGGTAAATACCAAGGAGTGCAATTTCTGGATTATATGTTAAGATATGGTTAATTTTTTAATAAACTGCTCAACTCACCATTTTACACTCTCATAACCAATGAAAAAGACTTACTGTTTCTCCACATATTTGCCAATATTTGGTATTGTGAATATTTCTTTTTTAACTCCTATTTTTTCCTCCAAGGAAATACTGGAGGAAAAAATATTTTTTCATTGCTATGAATGTTGGCTATATGTGGCTTATGGGCTGATTGTTTCAGCAGACAAACTTTTATGCCTATAATTATGGAAGAACTTTTAAAATAACCAGGCTCTAGTTGACTGAAGTCTTAGACTTTACATGCTATTTTACATTAGTCTTCATATGATAAGATGTGTGTTGTGTAAAAGAGGGCTTTTCTTATTATAATTTGGAGTTATTTCAGTGACCGAGTTGATAATAATGAAAATAATTTTATTCTGTATATATGTAGATAATTTCTATTGATTATTAGAACAAGAATTACTCTCCTAAAATTTGACATTAGTAGTTCTTGTTGATTTCTTTTTAAAATTCAGTTATTCTATAGGCATTTCTAATAGAAATTTTCATTTGTTTTTACAGCGTGTATACCAGTGCATGGCCCTCTTCTGATTTCAGGTTTGGGTATCATAGCTCTAGCAGAATTACTTGGACTAGTTTATATGAAATTTGTGGGTAAGTTAGTCCTATTTTTATTAGCTTATGTCAATAATTTCAGATATATACCTTGAAAAATGCTTTTAGTTGGTTCTTCCAGAAATGTATTGATAACTCCAAAATGAGAAAATACAGTTAAAATGAGGCTCATTCAAGAGGGTGGAAGTCATATGAATTAATGAAAAGTTTGGATTGTGAACTACTTTAAAAGAAAATGGCTTTCTCTCTGTATTAGAATGTATAGATTTTTGTGTGTGTGTGTGTGTGTCCTAAGTAAAGGGAGAGATCTCTGAAGGATCCATTTTAATTAATAGAACAGGATTTTTAATGGTTCATTATTCCTGTGATTTAGCTCTTTTGCAGAAACCTGTATGTCACTTGCCATTTTTGTGCACTGTGTGTACACAGGGACTCCCCTAATGTGTCAGGAACTGAAAATCAAAGTCTTTTACTTTCATATTTAATAATGTGATGACCTCCAATGCACACATTTAAAATATTTTTGGTAAAAACCAATATGATAAAAGCAGTAAGTTTTTAAACTTAGGATTTTACCACTCTTAAAATAAATTCATAATATGTATATGGAATCAGCTTCAATTTTTTTCTAACCTTGGTATTTAATCTGCCAGTTTTCAAACAACAGGTTTCTGCATACATTCTTATTTTAAACATACACACACACACACACACACACACACACACACACTCACAGAGAAAGAAAGAGAGAGAGAGAGAAGTGCTCATTCGCTTTTAATGGTGTCTAAAACTAGGATTTTTTTTATCTAAGCTAGTGATGTTGCCTTCAAGCTGCTGGTTTGTAGCAGCTTCCAGTTTTTAGAAAAATCTGATTTTTATTTATAAAGTAAAGCAAACTCTTCACCACCTATCAAAAGAATCAATAGTTGCAAATTAATAGTGTAGAAAAGTCAGTATTTCTGCTTTTCAATAGGTGAAATTTACTGTTTGTTTTAAAATTAATACAGAACTTGAATTGATAGAGTCGAGAAGCTTCCCATATAGCTTGCATAATACTTTTTAAAAAAATTTACCTTTCTTTCTGAATTTCAGCTTCTGATGACCTATAATTAATTTGGTTCTGTTATATATTGTCTGATCCCTTTAATTAATGCTTATTAGATAAACAACTAAAATGCATTATCAAAATCTACCTATTTTAGTTTATTTGTTCTTGAGTCTTAGTTGTACCTCAATGAAATTTCCCAATTTCATGCCACATAAGTTTATAAAACACAAAACATTTAAAAGGCCAGGTATGGTGGTGCACACCTGTAATCCCAGCTATTTAGGAGGCTAAGATAGGATTGTAAGTTTGAGGCCAGCCTGGGCAACTTAAAAAGACCCCCAACCTCTAAATAAATAAATAAGAAAGACACCTAAAGCAGACTGGCATTTGCGTGGTTGCTATGGTGAATGTCTTATTGGTGATGCCAGTCTACCCTGGTTAAGTCTTCCAGTCACCATGTGTCTGATTCTTAAGGAGTGGCCCTGTTGATTTCGTTGCCTCATGCAGCATGCAACCTGCAGTACTCCCAGGTATCACTGACTGACTCTCGGCTCCGTGTTCTTGCTTTTCCCTCACTATCTGTATTGCCCCCTTTTGTTGCCTTGCTTCCCCTTGCCTTCCGTCTCTGGCAGGCGTTTGGCAGAGTTGCCATCAGGTCTGGAGATGCTGCCTCAAGCTTAGTGGACACTGCTTAGCTGCCACCTTTTGGCCTTGCTCTCCCGCCCTTTCCATTGCTTACATCCCTAAGAAGCCTGTGAAACCACAATCATTAAAAATGTCACTATTCTAAATTAAAATGAAAGTCCCTAGAAGGACCCCAGGTTACTTTTCTTTATCATACTTTATTGTATAAATATACTATATTGATTTTAAGAATTTAGTTCAATTTTGTTGATATTTTGAGAATATCCTAAATTAACTTTTCAAATCAACTTGTTTGACGCCAGAGTGCAGAGAGAGACCTTCGGTCAGTTGAAAGGCAAGAAGAGAAAAGGTACAGGAAAGTTGCTTTTTGGATAATGTGGTAGACTAGGAAGATTAATGTGTTTTGCTTATATAAATCTGTTTAAATCTGAATATATGTAACATTATATATTTTAGTTTTATAAAGTGAGATAAGACACTGTGAACAATAATATGAAAAGATTAAAAAGATACCAATGTTGCAAATTGGTATCAGGAAGTAAAAATTGTAAATATTTCAAAAATAACTTTTACTCATTGCAGATGCACTGTTTTAGAAATGAATGCATCTTGATTTAAATGTAATAAAAGCCCCAGATCATTAAAAAAAAAAAAAACCCTCTAAGAGTGAGTTAAAAGTGAGAATTTTAATTTTTTTCATTTTTCATTATTCACAAATGTAAATTTTATAGCTTTGTTATTTTGAAGAATAGGACTTTGACTTTCACTAAGTCCTTCTTTTTTATTGCATTTTTTCTTATTATTGAAGATATTTTAGTTTTATAAAGTGAGATAAGACACTGTGAACAATAATATGAAAAGATTAAAAGGAACCAGCTAAACTCACTAAAGTTGAGCTTGTTAGTGTAATGGATGCTTATGTCTATTATGTGTAAAGGTAAAAGCATTTGTTTGTTTTTAAAGCCATTACCACTTAGTTTAATATGTTTGAACAATTAGCCTCATTAAAGTCAGAAATATATTTACCACACATCTCAGATATTTTAGAATGAGACAGAAGCAAAATATCTGTCAGTCAATAGATATTTTTGTTTGTTTATATATTCAGATGTATTTTCTTGCCATTGTTGAGGAGAACTGTTTGTGGTATCACTATAAAAAGTGTTTCTGAAAAATTTGAAACATGGAAGTATGTTTATGTCAAATGATCAGGTGTTTTAGATAACAATTAATGCAGAAGAATTAATCAAGTCAGCCCAGATAGAATGTTTAAGGCTTTTAATTAAAAAAAAAAAATTGGCCTGGGCTCATGCAGATTAGACATGATCATTCTTTTGGCTCATGTGTTGTAGCCCCACTGGACAGTATTAACTCAGGTGAAGTTAAGACCTGCATTGTTTAGTTTTATACTCTTAGAGGTATCACCACTGATTGCTGTCCTTTTGAATCACTGTTATTCATAGATTTTTATTTTCAGAATGGTCTAGACAAATGTGACATTTCTTGCTCATGGGAATTAGAATTTTAGACTATTCTTTAAACGTAATGGTGGGGGGAGTACTTAGCTATTCTTAATACTAATTCTAATGAGCTCAAAAATAGAACTCTAAAATATTGTCTCTGACCACCCCCTCATGTTTGTTACCAATCAAAAATTTAGATAGCTGTTCAGTTCTATTGTCCTTTATAAAACTTAGATGTAAGCCGGGTATATTGGCATATGCCTGTAATCCCAGCAGCTCAGGAAGCTGAGGCAGGAGGATTGCAAGTTTGAGGCCAGCCTCATCAACTTAGCAAGGCTCTATGCAACTTAGTAAGACCCTGTCTTAATATAAAATAAATAAATAAATAAATAAATAAAGGTCTGGGGATGTGTCTCAGTGGGAAAAAACCCTGGATTCAATCCCCAGCACCAAAAACAAACAAACAAACAAACAAAAACCTTAGAAATAAGGCAAGGTTTAGTTGAAGTAAGCTGTCTATTCATGTCACTCTCCTGATATCCCCAACAAAATTATGAAATTCTGCTTATTTATTTGGGAAGCTACTAAATGGAATGTATCAAAACCATTTCATTCAACACAAGGAACGAACCACTCCTCAAGTGTTGCCACAGTGAGGGAGGGCAGTGTCGACCCACATGTCACACTAGCAGAGCATGTCCAGAGTGGAGACAGATAATAGGCCTCACAGGGTGGGGGAGTGTGCAATTCGGCAGCTGGACAGCTCCAGCACCTTTCCTCTTACTGGTTCATCACTCCCCCCTTAGCATAAGAGTTAGTTGGTATCTTTTCTGTCAGTTATAGTTCCTGAGTTCCTCTGCCTTTGGCCCTTCACCTGTTAGCCAGGTAGCTCAGCCTCTCCATTGTGTCCCCATTTTTTTATCCTAATCACGTCTTCCCAATGATAGCTTTTCTTACCTATCACTCTAAGCTTTGAGTTCTCATTTACTTTGTTTCTTTTCCATTTTCCCTTCCCATCACCAGTTTTCTGGTCTTTTCTTCTCTTTGCCCTTTGGATTCCAGGGGGAGTGAGAATCTTACCTGGCCAGTCAGGTACTATTTTCCTATTTGAGTGAGCCTTGTCAGCTAGCCTCCAGATTGGCTGACCTGGGGTCAGAACCCACCCCATTTCCCATCAGCTGTAGAAGCTTGATAGGTTTGGGCTGAGGGGTGGTAGGAGATAAATAGCATGGAGCAGGAAAGCTGTCCTGGGGCTGCCTGTCTGCAGATGAGCAAGTCCAGAGCCGTCATCCAGTCCAGGTCACAGTGGAGTCCTGTCAGTCCCAACACATTTTCTCTGCATTTCTGAGCTGAGTTCACCTGGCTTGAAAATGATTCTGTTTTGCTCCCATCTCTTGTTTAATGGTATGATTCATTGTGTTGCTACTTCTATGTTTAATATTTTTTTGTGAGAAATCAGAATTTCTTAAACTGAGAGAGAAATGAGAAATTCTATCAAGAAAGAAAGAAAGAACAGTAAGAGAATATATAATACAGTAGGAAAACCCTCCTCCTGGATGACCCGGCCATGTTGCTGGCTGACATTTTGAAACTGTGGGACCGTACTTGGTATGAAGGACTTAGCTGCTCTTGGGCATCCTCTTTGGTTTTTAAAGGCAGTCCTCTCTCTCCCCTACCCAGCTAGAGTACCTCCTTTCCCTTTTGTCCTTTTCTTCCTGCCTTGTATTCCTTCATCTTTATTAATTCTCCAGTAGGAAACTGTGAAGAGGGCAACTCAAAAGCTAAGAAGGAGTTATATAGGGGAGGGCTAGAGTGTGGCTGCATCTAGCTGCCTAGCATAAATTTTTAAGCATAGAGGGGTCTGAATGTTTATTTTCTTAGCCATTTGAAGCTTTGAAAGCTGACAAGGTTTTGAAGGAGGTGGGAAGATTGGGCTACGGGGAATGAGAGCAAGGAGCCAAGGAACGTGGAGTAGAGGGGACACCAGTCATTGCCTCACTCTGACATGTCCTGGCTGGGTGGAATAGGAAGAGATGGCGAGCCCATGGTAGGGATGATGGATGACAGCATTTTTCCACCAAGAAGTGTAGCAAGTGGCTGATTTGGGGGACGAGATGGCATGCACAAATGAGAAACCATGTGTGTCTATTATCCGATATAGGTGGGTCAACGCTTCATTTTCTTCTCTCAATGCCTATAATCAAGAATATTCTGTATTTTTGAATAGACTATCAAAGCTGGAACTCCTTCATTGGAGTCTCTGGCACCTTCTAGTTTTAGCCCTGAACATTTTATCTTAAAAAATAAACATTGCATTGCCTTAATTTGTTTCGTTTATTAAATTAATATTTTTATTTTTTTATTTATATCAGCTTCTAATCAGAGGACTATACAAGCTCCTAGGGTAAGTTAAAGTTTATTAAATGAATTGGGAATGATCTCTTGATGGGTTAGACTGAGGAGTGATAATTGGAATATTGAACTATTTTGCTCTCTGTTTCACGTAACATCAAATTAAGAAAATGTTGAAGTCGCTTCATGACCTTTGTGTGAATGGGTCCAATTCTATTTTAAAACTTATGTTTGCTCATTTAAGTATTAATGGGGTGGAATAAATTATTTCATAAAATTGTACTGACTTCTCATACCCAGAATTGGAAAGTTTATGAGTAGGAATAATGGTTATTATCTCTTCCATCAGAAGGAAGCTGATTCCAATATATTACCTCACCTATTGGATCCATTTGATGTAAATACACAAAATGATAGTTTCAGGCTTAATGAGGAAGAGAAATTTATATTAAATTGACATCATTAAAATTATAATTTATAAAATGAATGTAAATATTGCTGAAAAATCTGAGTTACTATCTACCCCACACCATTTTATAAACATTTTTCTTCCTGAAAACTGTACTGCAGGTTCACCGTACTTTGCATATTTTAATAAGCTCTCTGAGAAAATTCCAAAAAAAAAAAAGGGGAACAAATTTAGGAGGGGATGAATAAGGAGAAAACTATCTTGATAAATATAGACTCATCACAATGACAGACCCAAGAGCTCTTTTATGGAAATAAGATCTAGAAAGGACTATATTATACTCAGCTTCCTATAAAGACTGATGATGGATCTACTTGGAATTCCAGAGAGAGTCTCCTGTCTGTGGCAGGAAGTGCTCCTGAGTCTGAGGAGCCTCCACAGGCAGCCAAAGGGGCAGGCTCGCTCAAGGTGTGTTTGTTTCACCTCGCCTGTTTATTCTAAAAAGATCACTGCCATAGCTACCCGGTCACAAGCAGCCAGCGGTTTCTAAAGTGCCTCTTAATAATAAACCCAACCGCTGTACCTTTAAATCCTAACAGTTTTCTTTCTCCCATTGCTGAGTTCATTTTGTCCAACTTGAAAATGATTCTGATTTGCTCCCTTCTCTTGCTTAACTATATTATTTGTTCTGCTATTGCTGTGTACATACTTGCACTTCAATATTTTTGTGAGAAGTTAGGATTTTCTGAACTGAGTAAGGTGAGTGTGGTAGGAAATTCTGCATAGGAAAAGCATATTAAGAGAATAAAACAATTATTACCAAACTACCAGCTCAACTTGGCAAGCTTTGCTTCAGCCCTTACTGCCTTATTTTGGTTTTAGATGAAAGGATTCACTGTTTAATGTATAATTTAATGTTAAAATATATAAGTTTTAGTATATAAGGACATGAAACAAATTATATTTTTATGTAAATATATTTTAAATATTTTCCAGAAAGCTGTAGAGGAACCACTTAATGGTATGTAGTTATTACAAACTTGTATATTCTTGATCTATTATCAGATCATAATTTGAAATGGCCCTCGAAAAAGTTAGAATGCCCATCTATTTCTTGAGAAGGGTCTAGGGTTTGGTTTGGTTTGGTTTTTCCCTTGCATTGACCTCTTTTTCTTTGCTTATTCATTAAGAATCAGGAGTATTGCTTTTGTAATATTCTCACCTCTGGGAAAAAAAGGATCATACTTTGTCCCTCAGGGAGTTGGTTTACCTTAGCCAAGTGGTATTTGGGCAAGAGCACCATTCCCCTTTTATGTGGGGCCAAAATGAAAAGTGTCATGGCATCCCCTTAGAGGAGAATCTTATTCCCAATTTCTAATTTGTAAACTTCAGAAAAATGCAGGTCATCACTATGTAGTGAGACCAGACCAGAATATTTTGTTGTCTATGTAGATCTGAAACTGTATTCCCAACTGAATCTGTTTCCCTAGTGGATACTGTAGGTGTGAACCACAGAAATGCTTTGCAATAAAAATGATAGTCTTAAAGTTCATTTGGCTGTGTAATTGTAGAATAGTTGGCATGCTGTTGCTGCATGTTTGTTTTGAAATGATTTCTAATTGTGGATCCTTACTAACTGCCTCTTTGGCTTGTTACTAACCCTTAGCGTTTAAAGAATCAAAAGGAATGATGAATGATGGTAAGTATAAAGTATTCCTGTAATTATAGATTGATTGAAATGTGGATATTGAAAAGAAATAAAAATACTTCTTGAAAATATGACTTTCTTAAATAAAAGAGACACTGTCAAATCATAAAAGTCCACCTTTCTTGATGGATAAAACTTAAATCTGTTTTGCTAAAAAACTTAAACATAAGAGTTGTAGGGCCTCAAGAATCAGAGTCCACAGTCACATGGCTCTGAGCAAAGTGAAATCGCCCCTTTTTGTAAGACATGTTTCAGATTCAGCACCTGGTATCTAACTTTAAAAATGCTTTTTATAAGGCACAGACATAATCTGGTACAAATCTTTATCATTTTTGACAGAGTCTCTTTTATGCTTATGTTGGTGATTTTGTGGCATCTCAACCATGGGGTCTTAATATCTCTATTTTTCCAAGCAGGAGCTGGTTCTGACCTTTTGGTAGAGGGTTACAGAGAAAGGCAAAGAACAATGTTTAGTCACTCCCACTTTCACTTCTATTTTTGGAACTCTAGACTAATAACCTCTAATCTTCATGGAATACTTCAAAGACCTGGATTTGTTAAATTTTAAAGATAACCAAATCTGAAACATCAAGTGCTGCTAGCGTTCATTTGGGTTTTCCCTGCACATGCTGTAATTTTCAGGTTCACTGGCATTTAGTAACTGTGTTTATATTTTTTCCTTATTTTCAAAAACGTCTTCACTTCTTCGATATTTGCAATCATTCCCTGATTATGTCAGTGATTTGCTTTACAGTTTCAAAAGCCTATGACCTGCCCGCTCACCTCTAAACAGCACAGCATTTAACACAGGAGGGTTTGTTCCCCTGGTTACAATAAACTTTTGCATAAGATTCAAACACTCCAGTCATTGTTGAACCAAATTTAAAACAATGTTTAGGCTTCTGTTCACCCAGGAGCCACTGAATGATCCCATTTCTGTAGGTTTGTGCCACAGCCTTTAAATCAGGTTTTGTTATGCAAGTCCCTAGCTCCTAAAACAATTATAGTTAGTAGGAAGAAATTAAAAGACATTTGAAAAGATCCGTATCTGGAATTATGGCATCTTTATTCATGCTTAAATTCTGGCTTCTCAGCTCCTTTGTTCTCTCCTACTGTGGTGTCATTCTGTAGGAAGAAACTAAACTTTTCTCATTTTCAGAAAACCAGTATAAGATCCTTGAGTGGCATCTTTCTTTGTGAACTTTCCCTTAAGATATAACTTTTGCCTTGAATTTTTGTTCGTTCATAGCAGATGAAATCTACGATGGCCTTTGAAATGCGCTTAATTTTGTTAATATTAGCTGGTCAGAGTTTGTTTTCTGGATGTCTGTCTGGCAGGTTCTGTCTGCTGACACCGGCCTGATTGATGCACCTAGCATACCTACCCTTCAGGGAAGAGGTCCCTGCCTAGGGTATTCCTCCTACCTACACCTATCATGTTTATTTCACTTACATTAGACAAATTGTGTAGATTTAAAGTGAATGTAATGGAATATTATTCTAGGATTAGTATTCTTTTCTTTGAAATATCAATATTTTGGCTTCTTTAACTCAACCAACAAACGGAGATTATCAGACTATTGATTTGTATTTTCATTTGGCATTGCCTGCATTTTACTTACCAAAACTGAAAAGGTCAATGATTTGCCTGGCTTCTGTCTAAGGCCTTTGTGGAAGTATTTTCTTTATTTTGAAGATAATGTGTATCTAAAACAGTTCCGAATTTTAAAAAATGCATCAACTTCTTAATGCACAGGAAATAGACATGAGCAGTGACGATATGTTCGTGTTTCAATTTTCCAGAGTAACTGAAGTGAAGTGAAGGACTCTGGTTTGGAGAGTCATGGAACCTGAAGGAGTACACTTGTATTTAAAGACCCCGGCCTTGATGATTCACTCTTGGGAAGAAGAAGAAAAAAAAAAAATAAGAAAAGTAACTGGTACTCATCTGTAAGAGAAAATAAGTCATTGACCCGTAAATGATTATTATCACAGTTTTTATTCAAAACAACTGTAATTTAGTTAATAAAAGAATTCTGATCTGTGTCGTGTGCCCGGTTGAGATCCAATTTTCTGTTATTTCTATTTAATTGGGGACAAAAGTAGAGGGAGCAACTTCCAAGGATGATACTTTCCATATCCTCGGGCCTCTCGACTCTGGGTTTAAATTGGTTCAGGGTGAGAATGACCTAACACTAACCTGATGGTCACCCAGTAACATCTGTGAAAATCAGTGGCTTCTATCCAAGCTTAGTAAACTCAGGTTCCCAGCATCCATGGCAGTTAGGCTGTTAGCTGAATAAGGTGTCTGCCACTTCTGGGTCGGGAATAGTGACTTATTAAGTGGAGACAGGAATTTGGTTGGGAACATCTTGTATGCCACTTACCTGTGCTATGACGTCACTGGATATAGGGACCTTCATTCTTGGGGGTTGCCATTCGCACAGTGTCCCTTCAGCCTACAGTGTAACAGATACTTCCCAGATGTGGGTTGCTTTTATTGACGGATGTGTTTTTCTTTAATTCACACAACCCTTGGGACCCTTCTTTGCCCTCCTGTTACTCGCTTCTGCTGGACAGGATGTAGCACCGATTCTCCTCTCTGAACGTGGTCCAGTGACGCAGTAGCATCAGTTGCAGAAAGGAGCCAGACTTGTTTTCAGAGCACTGTGTTCACACTTTTCGGCAAAAATAGCTATGGTTGTAACATGTGTATTCCCTTCCTCTGGTTTGAAGGCAAAACTCTACGGTGTTTCTTCACTTATTTTCTGATTGGAGGCATGACAAAAGCAAGACTGAAATCTGAACTATGAGTCTCCTGCATGGCAACCTTCTGTGTGTCTCCATCAGGCCGTGGGCCAGCCCTCGAGGGGGGCGCTCCTCCTGTTGTGTCTCTGTTGCATGATAACCACTCATCCGCTTCCTCCTGTAGTCCTGCCTCCTGCTCCCCCTCCCCTGAGATTGAAAAGTAAAACAGAACCACATTTCCTACCCCAGTTAGAAGAAAAAAAATAACGTTCTGACAGTGTGATCGCCTGGAGTACTTTTAGATTCTTAGCACTCGTTTTTTACCTCGTTTGTGGATGTGTGTTTGTATGTGCACATGTATAAGGTAGGCTCCTGCTGCTTCTGTAGGGACAGAAGTGCCGTACCTACAGGAGAGCCCGTGCTGACTTTGTGCTTTTAGTAAAAACATTTAAAAACAAAAGGTCCTTATCAGGTGGAATTATATTTGATGCAAATATTTGATCACTTAAAACTTTAAAAACTTCTAGGTAATTCGCCAAGCTTTTTGACTGCTCACCAATGCCCTCTAAAAATACTAGTGATTCTTCCTGTTTGTGTAATGAGACTTTCATATTCATAGTGCCATCACTGATAGTTATTTCTTAGTCTCCTGGATGTTTCCATGTGCCTCTTTTATGCCCAATTTATTGTCATATTTCATGTTGGGACCAAGTGGTTTGCCCACGGCAGACCTAAACTTATAACCTGCTGAGGCCCCTCAGAAAATTGAACACACTATCAAGACAGTTCTTCCCTGATGGAGTAGCTGTCCAAAATATTAGTCTATGGAGAGGGAGCTGTATTTCTTTATACAAATCTAATGGCTCCTGCTGCCCTTCTCCTGGAAATATTTGCACTTTGCTAATATCGTTTGTTACTTTAGAAATTAATTTTGATGAAAAGAGCAAAAAAAAAAAGCAGATGGACTTGAAAAAGATCCAAATTCTTATTCTCCATTAAGAAAATCAGGTATGAAGATCTTTATAGTCAAATTTTTTAATGAACTAAAGTTGTACCTTTTAATATGTTGTAAACTCTCCTTTATTTGGGGTTCAGTCTCGAGTCTGACCATCTGTTGTGTTCTCTTTGATGCTACCTGCCTTTTGAGATGTCACTGCCCTAGACAATGCCTCTGGAGGTAGCAGGGGAAATGCCAGATGCAATCAACTCTTGCTCTTACCCATCCTCTTCTCCAGCTAAGGGACCACAGCAGCAGAGTCCTCCTGCCTGGGCATCATTGGGCCAGTTTATTCTCTTTAAATCAGACTTGTAATGGCTCCCAATTCTGTCACATCAGATATAACTTGCTAACAGTGTTTTGAGCATCATAGATTGTTTTGCCCCATAAGATGCTTTTTTACTCCCTGATCCCAATTTTTGCCATCATCTCCTCCATTCGGTTTTATTTATTGTACATTCTCAAAGTGACACCATTTGTCATTTTCTGCAACAACCTTTTCAGCCTTTTTGGCCAAATCACATTTTTCTTTTCCTTCAGTACATATGCTCCAGCCCTTCCCCCTCCCCCCCACCGGCTGTCCTTTGCAGTCTGTCCTCATCTGTCTAGCAGCCTCTTTCATCTCTTTCTTACCCTTCCTTAGTACTTCATTTATCTTGGCTTTAGTTCTGTTGGGGTTTTTTGTCTTGCTTTTCTCACTGGATTTTAAAATTGCTTCCATAGCAAGAGCTTCTCTCTCTTCCTTTCTCTCTTGCTGCTGTGTGCAGTGTTCTGCGTACATTAGATACTCCGTACATAAGTTTGATGATTGGCTGTATTTCGATTTCTCACTATTTTTAATAGGGTGAGCTAGAGACTTTTCTTTTTTGACAAATTGCACATGCTCGGAAAACCTTAAAGGGAAATGATTTTTTTTAAAACCTGGAAATTTCAGGTCCATTCTGTTAAAAATTCTTGAGAATATCAGAGTTAATTTGGCTATCCCATAATTGGAAGTATTGTTCTTTTCAGACTTCTCTTGCCAATTTAGTAAGTGTCCGACTGAATTGTGATCTAATAAAGCTCAAAAAGTGATAAGTTTGCTCCTTCATCTCATTAATTTATAAAAGGCTACATCACCTTCTCGATGTCTCTCATCTTACAAAGGGTGTTCAAAAGTGGCGATGATAGGTGGTTTATGTCTGGAAATACATACCCATACCTTTATTTACCTCTTGTTGGAAACTGGAGAAATAATTGTCTGGCAACTCTTTACATTTTCTTTGTGTTTTATTTGATTGAGGGTTTATTTAGAAATATTAGTTTTGCATGTGTGTCTTATATTCAAAATCACTAACTGCCATCACCCACTGGGGGTCCTTTTAGTTTAATAGGGATAATCCAAGTTAACTTTGAAGAGATGAGCAGTGACCAGGAATTTTTCCTGCCTTTAACTTTGCTAGCTCTTAATTATGATCCTGTAAGACCAGCTTTTCCATAAATCCAGTCTTTTAAGGAAAAAAATAAAGCAAGGCTTTGTAATAAGCTTCTCTGTAAGACAACAGCAGTGGAATCTTCAAAGTGTTGTTATCAAGATTGGTGAAAGAGGGAAACATTTTTGTTTTTATTAAATGAAGCATTATTTACAAAAAGCCATTGTTAAGAAGTAGATCCTGCATCATATAAATATCCATTAACCATTCTCAATAAAGAGAACTCCAGTGTTGCTATGTGTTAGATGCTCTCTTGGGGGCTTTTTTGCATAGCAATTAAAGTTGTGCTCTTTGTCAGTAGCCATTTTTTTTTTTGCAGTGATTTAAAGACCAAAGTTGTTTTACAGCTGTGTTACTGTTAAAGGTTTTTTCTTTTTTTTATATATGTATTAAATCAATTTATCACTGTTTGAAGCTTTGAATATCTGCAACCTTTGCCAAGGTTCTTTTTTTATTTAAAAAAAGACATAACTTTGTAAATATTACCCTGTAATATTATATATACTTAATAAAACATTTTAAGCTATTTTGTTGGGCTGTTTGTATTCCGACAGCAGACCACATGAACATTTCTGAGAAATTTAGTTCATTAATATACCTTCAGTTTGTCCATATTCTATGTAACAATGCAAAGATTTTTTTTAATGTAGTACCTAATACATAAACTTTTAGCTGCAGCAAAGTTCTAATTAGAAGTTGTAAGAAGTCAAATGTATTTGATAATTTTTAATTAATTTTCCCCAAGGTATAGTGAAAACATCACATGAGAAAGAAAGAGACCTGGATTCTAGTCCTGGCAGTACTCTAACTAGCAGAGGACCTGGGCAAGCCTCTTGCCTGTGCCACAGTGACTGTGGTTGCCTATGGAATAAGATAAACCTCTGCCAGGACTAAACTATTATGTTATCCATTTGAATTGGTTGTTAGGATTATTTTTACTGCAAGTGAAAGAAAAAAAAATATATATATATATATTAATGTAACCTAAAAAAGAAAAAAAATATATATATATATATATATATTAATGTAACCTTAAAATTCAGATGTACAACTGGATTCTGGACCTCCAAACCAAATCATAGGGAACCAGTATCTCATCAGCCTCCCACTTTTCTCACCTGCACATGGCCTTCCTTCCCAGGTTTCTGCGGTGGTAAATGACTAATTGCAGTCCCAGACCCACCTTTTCCCAGTCAAGGAGAATAGAGGGTGAAAAGAAAACAAAGGGGTCCTGTCCACCCAAGATTGTACCTAGGGCCTCTGACTGTATCAATGCCATCCCTCGATCACTGAGCCAAGCACCTCTCTTGCTGTGACTGGACCAGCCTAATTTCCAGATTTAGCCTGCAGTAGAGGCTGTATCTGCAGCACCCACACTGTGCTGAGTGGGGGAGGAAGGCGAGGACAAGTTCACCTGAAGCAAAGATAGGGGATAGTTCCTAGGTGCTGAGATGTCATTAGATTTGAGGCACAGGATTCCTAATCAGTGCTGCATCCCTTCAGATCTCTATTCTATGATTCTGCATTTTATGTGTGATTGTAGACCATGTGAATGGAAAATAACATTCGGCAGCAGAGTATCCATCTCTTTCCTTACCTCATAGGCAATTTAATTTTTTATGCATTTACGAGGACTTTTTCATTCTCAGCAGGAGTAACTAATGGGGTTCAGAAAGCATTTAATGACCTACCTCCTGCACTGAAAACTGCTCTCTCTTGCACAGAACTGTACTCAGCCTGATTAGAACTCCCACGGAGCTGTAGGCTTCCAAATGCAGCTGGATTTCACTTTTGTGTGGCACCTTTCCACCCCAAGGCGTCAGGTTTGACAACTTTGGTAAACAATGGGTTATGGTAACATCATCCAGGTAGGACATGATTTTGGCAGTAGCTTGGGGATTTGAGTGGCAGTGTTTGGCTATTTCAGAACTCACACACCCAGTCTCTATTTTTCATAAACTTTAAGCTCACATACCCATCCATCAAATCAGTGGGAAATGAAGTATTTAACCCTAAATTATGGATAATTTGACTGATTAGTTAATGTTGAAGACAGCACTGCGGATCGCATAGAAGTGATCAGAACTCTACTACTTACTTAGCAAGTACTTATTTAGTCATGTAGTTAGCAGGCAGCAACTTCTCACCTCTGAGAGTGAAAAAAACAGGTATAGTTCCCCAATTTGGATGATGAGAAACTCCTGGTAAGCATTTCTTCTAATTTGGAGATAAATGTTTTCTAAGTCTGAAAACTGTAGTCTGCTGTCAGTCTTGATGACAGAATGGCAACAACACTGCCAGCTCTTTTAATGAGCAGCTATTACATCACCCGTACCATAGTAGTACTAGGCTTTCTGGAAGCCTCTACTGGAAAAAAATAATAACAATATTTGATCAGAGATCTGTCTTTAAAAAAAGAGAAAATCTTATAGTTTTGTTTCCAGATTTTATTTGGGTTGCCAGAGAAATTTCTCCATGTTAAAGCATGCTAAAGCAACATCCTATAAGCTATTAGCCTTTTAAACAAATGGATTGTTTTTAAAAAAAAATAAGCGTGTTGCTTAAAATGCGGTATATATTTTCCATGGAGCTCTCTATTTTGGGGGGTGTATCAGTTAAGCTGCACTAAATTTAGAGTGAACTCTTATGAGTACATACATCGTCATGTATGCAATAGATTTTTGTGGGGAAATATAATTTTGGCATGTTCAGGGCAGCTGGAAGTACTAGAACCCTTGCTCTCTCCACAGCTGCCACCTCCTCCCTTACCAGGAACAGCTTATCCCACCGCCTTGGGTGAGAGCCCTGTGTGGCTCACCTCCAACCCCACCTCCTAGGCAGCTCTTTCTAGGAATGTTTCTCACTCTCCAAGGAATTTCCACCCCCAGATCAACCAGACGTTTTTAGAATGTGATGTTCGTAAGCCTCACTTTGGCAAGTTAGCAGATGCATATATTTGGTTACCTGAAGAAACCTTACCTTATTGCAGTGTTAATCAAGTGTACCTCATAGTTGGATTGGTTAGACATACATCTTGAATTTTCGTATTTTATAATCCTGGGCTCAATAGAACCCATGTCTCCTCACACCTTTAGCTATATGCCTAGCTTATCAATGGGAATTATTCTAGTAATGACTGTGACTAAATGGAATGGAAAAGAATACCCTGGATCCTGTGCAGGAATATGTTTGAAAGCATCAAGTATTAATTTTTCTTACTCTTGATTAAAGAAAGTGGTTAAAAAATGATGGAACCTTTATTCTTTAAGTCCATGGGTAGATCGTGGGGGCATTTATTACTTGTCCAAAAGAATTGTACTTGAAGTCATAGCCAAAACAATGCCAGTTAAGTTTTTTTCAAAAGCATCACATTTAGTAAGATTAAATATTCTTGTATTATTTTTTATGTCTCTGGAAAAGTATGAAATACCTTCTTTAAGAAAGACATTTGGTTAAAGGGTTTGGCTGGAGTTTGTTCACCACATCTTATCTTTTGATGTTCTGGGTAGAATTGTCTCTCTCTATT